CTCCTGGAAGATGGAGAGCATAGGGAAGGGGAATGTCACTCAGCTGCAAAGAGGCTGTGCAATTTTGGGAAATGTATCAGCTTAAAAAGTAAATAACACTTTAGTCTTTAATTAATGTGAAATACACGGGGATATCTAAACAATCTGTTGCTTGCACAACAAAATTAAATGAGGAAAATAAAGTTGTTTGCTCTCCTTGGATGGCAGTACAGGGCATATTCATGGTCGGTTGAACTCGGGGGATGAAGCCTCAGGCTCACCAAAACAGGGGGCTTCTGTATGCTTTGACTTAAGAATATCCTATTCTTAGCATGGATTTTTCCCTGAGATTTTGTTTTCACTAAAATCTTTCCTGTAGGACTCTGGTGGTTCATGGCTTTACTCTTGGCGAGAAAGGGGAGAAGATGTCCAAATCTATTGGCAACGTGGTTGACCCTGAAGTCGTCATCAATGGAGGCGAAGTAGGTCAAGCTCCTGAGTTCCTCAGAGCTGCCACTTAGAACCTTTCACTGCCAGATTCTGCAGCTGTCATGTGGCAGAACTCTGTCAGGCTCTTGGCTGTACTGACGTTCCATTTGGCTGGACTGAAAACCTTGAGTTGTGTTGCTTCTGCTGTAGTGCAAGGAAAGCCCTCACCTTTCTTCTCTGCTAAGAGAAAAGAAAATTATGCAGAGGGTGTAGAATGGTTCTTTTTTACCAGTGTTGATGGAGTAATGGAGAAGAGGAATAATAATAAAAAAAAAAATTAAAATCATGAACCTCTGCTGTCAAACTGACTGAAGCCTACCATGTGTGGCTGGGAGTGGAGCAGTCAGATGTAGCAATTGCACCTCAGCAATCTCTGCTCTCAGGCTGTTATTGACTCTGGAAACTTCACTCCATGGTCAGGGAGGTTACACTGCTGGTGCTTCTCTGAATTTCCTTTCCCCCTCAAGTCCTGCTGTTGCTCTTTCTGAGGCTGCTGAGATGATTCTAGCACTATGATTTCACTAGACAAAAGAATCAGTTCTTGAATGATTTTCTTACCTGATTAATTACACCACAAAATTGTTTCTCTTCTTTCAAAAGGAGAAAAGCTGTTTTCAGAGTTGAAAACAGTTGGAAGGGGAAGAAAAACCTATGTAGTTTTAGATATTAACATTGCTATTTTGATGATAAGCATTCAAAGGATTTCAGACTGCAGATGAGCTTCTCTCAGCTTACCTGGGTTCTAGCACTGCCTGTACACAGAGTGCTGCAGGTGTGGGTTGTAGCCCTGCTAAAAGAGGGGGAAGCCTCCAACCACAGTGGCCTCTGGGCACATGGGACAGAGTTTTAGGTAGTCCTGCGAGGAGCAGGGAGTTGGACTGCATGATCCCTATGAATCCCTTCCAGCTGGAGATACCCTGCATCTCTGTGCTTTTCTGTCTGTCCTCAGGATCACACCAAGGATCCTCCATATGGTGCTGATGTTCTCCGCTGGTGGGTGGCAGAATCCAATGTTTTCACGGAGGTGCTGATTGGGCCTGTGGTGCTCAGCGCTGCCAGAGATGACATCAACAAGGTAAGAGCCACCAGTGCCAACACTGTTCATCCCAACAACGGGTCCTCTGTGTACTGCCTGCAAAGCTTTCCAGTCTTTAGACTAAAGAGAGCTTTTCCAAGCCTATTTAGGGATGTACTACTGCTTTTTACATCTGTGGGCTAAAAAATGTGCTGAGAAAAAGACTAATTTTGTAGATTTGTGTTTTGGTAACAGCCAGTCTTTCTTTTTCTGTAGGTCTTTTTGCCATGTGCTCTTCATGATGCCTTTGTAAAAATTCAAACAGTCATTTTGAAAAGTAGTCAGTTTTAGTTAATGATGGCAATATGAGCATTTTGTGTTTCATCTAAAGCATAGGCTAATAGTGTTTAATTGCTCTGGGTTGTCCTAGCTCCGGAACACGTTACGTTTCATGCTGGGAAACTTGGAGGGCTTCAATCCAGAGACAGATTCCATCCCCCCTGCAGAGATGTACATAGTGGATCAATACATGCTGCATTTACTGCACGAATACGGCAGCAAGGTAAGGGGGAATTGTGTTTAGATAAACGTGTGTGTAATGTTTTCCTTTGGTTATATTTTCGTCAGGTGTGTGAGTAAAGTGTGTGTGTGTGTCAAGCAGGCACATTACAACCACAAAGGATCCTTCAATGCAGTGTGCACTCCCTTAAGCCCATCTCAATTTTTGAGGAAGACTTTAACATTCTTAACTTGGTTTGGATATCAACCAGATTTTCCCACTAACTGCCCAAGGTCTCAAATTAGAAGTCGTTAAAGATAGATATTAAAAGAAACAAACCCAAAAACTAGAG